ATGGGGAACCTTGGGGAGGCTGGCCTTAGGGGCGCTTCTGGCTGGCTCATCAAAACCTGTTGTTTCAAGGGAACCAGCAGTTAGCATAATGGCTATGTTGCTGGACTCCCACGTAGTCGACCGCGGTTCGCATCCCGGACCTGGTGGCTTAAAACTCACGCCGGGCGCGTGTGCGTGCGTGCCCAAGATTCCGAGAGGAGAATGGAGAAGGGATTGCGGCGTGACCATCCCCCCTGGGGGGTTATTTCTCGCTTTCTGTCTCTATGTCTCTCTCTGTCTCTCTGGCGATCGCACGCACCCTATAGCGAAAATCTCAAAAAAAAAAAATCTGTTGTACAGGGGACCAGCAGGTGGCATAATTGTTAAGTTACTGGACTCCCACGTAGTCGACCACGGTTCAAGTCCCGGACCTGGTGGTTTAAAACTCATGCCGGGCACATGTGCATGAAAGGAGAATGGAGAAGGGATTGCAGCATGGCCACCCCCCCACCCCCAGTGGGAGTGACTTGTCATTTTCTGTCTCTGTCTCTCTCTGTCTCTCCAGCAAGCACACACGTCCTATAGCAAAAATCTCTAAAAGAAATAAATTAAAATCTGTGATGTGGAGACCAGCAGTTAGTGTAATGGCTGTTGCTGGACTCCCACGTAGTCGACCGCGGTTCAAGTCCCAGACCCGGTGGCTTAAACTCATGCCGGGCGCGTGTGCGTGCGTGCCCAAGATCCTGAGAGGAGAATGAAGGAGAAGGGATTGCAGCGTGGCCATTCCCCCTGGGGGGTGATTTCTCGCTTTCTGTCTCTGTCTCTCTCTGTCTTTCTGGCAAGCGCACACGCCCTATAGCAAAAAAAAACCTCTCCAAAAAAAGAAAAAATAAACCTTGGTGCCCCCTGATCCCCCCGCCAGAAAACCAAAGCAGGTCCAACCCGTCGCCAGTCAACAAAACAGAAAGAGGCAAAATCGGTGATGAGAGAGGAAACGAGAAAGTATTACAGAATGGACACACAGGGAAGACCTGTTAGAGGATCTGACAGCTCAGCCAACTTACCAGTGCTTTCACAGAGGAAGGGGGACGTTCCGGGGCTAATGGTTACCTGCAGAAAAGGATAGGTCAGGTTCGTTTTTAGCTGGGGCGCTAGGGGCACAAATGAGCAATTAATCTTTGAGGCAGGAGTTTCAGGCTTAGCTAAGGGGCATGATCAAGTGAGTCAACAAAACGAGTTTCAGGGACCAGCACTTGGCGTAATGGCTATGTCTCTCTCTGTCTTTCTGGCGAGCACACGTGCCCTATAGCAAAAACCTCTCAAAAAAAAAAAAAAAAAAAAAAAGAAAAAAAAGAAAGAAAGAAAGAAAAAGAAAAAGAAAAAATGAGTTCCAGCTCGTGGCTGGGGCAGAGCGTTCCTTGTGGTTGTTTCAGCTCCAGGTTGGCCGGGTTGGTGGTTTGTCTCCTTGGAGTTCCAGTGGGAAACCTCAAATAAAGAGTATCGGGCTAATAAGAAACACATTTGGATTTTAACAAGATGGAGTCAGTCTGGCTATGCAGGCCCTGGTTACAGTGTTGAATATTCCTGAAATGCAGAAGGGTGATTGGTTTCACTGAGCCAAGAGCCGTTGATTTGGGCAAACCTTACTTCGCGACTTTTAAAGTCTCTCTGCAATGAGGCCCAGCCTGTGGTGCAGCTGGTGTGTGCCAGACCATGGAGCTGGAAGCCACATGCCGACGCCATTCAAGTCTCCAACCCAGGCAGGCTGGAGGAAGCCCTGAGAAGATGCTTCTCTCTCTTCCCCTCCTCTCTCTTTTGCAAACATGCATATGTACAATCTACCATGAGAGGGAAAAACAGGTGAAAGCCAGTGGCCCTGAGTAGAAGCTCAAGGAAGGCTGTGGGTATTCCGAGAAGGAGCTTGCTGTCCTTTTTTTTTTTTTTTTTTTTTTTTTTTTAGGGGGGTTTTGTTATGGGATAGGGTGTGTGCACTCACCACAAAGAAACAGAGAGACAGAAAGCAGGAAATCACCTCCTGGGGGGATGGCCACGCCGTAATCCCTTCTCCATTCTCCTCTCGGGATCTTGGGTACGCACGCACATGCGCCCGGCGTGAGCTTAAGCCACTACATCTGGGATTCAAACCGTGGTTGACTACCTGAGAGTCCAGCAACATAGCTATTAAACCAACTGCTGGTCCCACTATGTCTTTGCTTCTGTATTGTTGTTTTTTTCTCCGGAGAGATTTTTGCTATAGAGTGTGACACAGAGACACAGAGGGAAAGTAAGAAATCAGCCCCTGGGGAGGATGGTCACGCTGCAATCCCTTCTCCTCCACTCTCCTCTCAGGATTTTGGGCATGTACACGCATACACCCAGTGTGAATTCAAGTCACCAGGTCTGAGACTCAAACCATGGTCAGCCATGGGGGAGTCCAGCACCTTAACCACTATGCCACCTGCCAGCCCGTCTTTGTTTTTTTTTGGTTTATTGAGAAGAAATACAGAGCAGTGTCATTTCTCTCCCCCACATCAGTCCCTTTAAGACTCCAGGAAGCCCGGTCAGGCCATGCCCCAGGGCATGGGGGAAAGGAGAGAGGGAGTAGCTGGCCTGGCAGAGTGCTCAGCCCAGTGTGCCTTTGGCCAGCAGGACGGGCACAGGCTGGCAGCCGGCTGACTAAGGAGAAGAGGACAGTAAGCTCTCATGACTGTGTGCTGGAGACAAGCTTGTGTTATCAACCCTGGGACAGGTGCCAGCAAGGCACTTTGTTTGTTCCGAGGGGGGACAAAGACAGAAGCACCTCAACCGGGTCCTCACACCATAATCCACCCCGGGCTCAGCCAGCCAGAATGGCAGCACGCAGCACACTCAGACCAGCCTGTGCAGGGAGACCTTGGACATGTACTCCTTGGGGCCTTACCCCGTGGCTTTGGCATCAGAGGGAGGCCCCCTGCAGCAGGACCAAGCACACCACAGTGACCCCGCATTTCCATCCATCTTCCATCTCGGGTCACTCTTGGGCCATCTTCAGGCCATCACTTTCTCAGCCAGTACCCGGCGTCCTCTGACCCACTGCCTGCACTGCTGCACCCACTCCCACACCAGAGGACCTGCCCAGCTGTGAAGCCGCAGGACCTGCTGCCAACCACCACTGCCTGCCACGTGGGGCCCTTGCAGCAAGTCCGTGGGGGCGGGACCTGAGCTTTATCTCCAGGCTGAGCCAAAGCAGGTCAACTTTGTCAGGGCCCTGTGACAGGTGGGTATTTGCGTACAGAGCAGTGAGTTTTCTCTGTGCAAAAGCCAAGTGACCCAGGGCCAGCCAGTGGCACGGTGGTTAAGGCAGTTGGATCCCACATGGCTGGCTGCACAGTTCCGAGTTCAAGTTCCTGATCTGGCAGCTTGAAAACACAAGTGTGTGTGTGCATGCCCAAAATCCCGAGAGGAGAATGGAGAAGGGACTGCTTTCTTGGGAAGTGCTCTCTCACTTTCTCTCTCTCTTCTGTCTCTTTTCAGTGAATGCACGTGCCCTATAGCAAAAATTTCAAAACCACAACGAAGTGACCACAAGAGGACTCAAAATGAGATAAAGGGTGAGCATTCCTAACCTAAAAATCCGAAATATTCCAAAATCGGAAGCTAAGCCACATGACAGTGCAGGTGGAAAATTCCAAACCTAGCCTCGTGTGGCTGGTCACAGCCAAATGCTACAACACAAAAATATTGCATAAAATACCTTATATTGCATAAGGTATGTGTGTATAAGGTGTACGTGATACAAATTATTTTGTGTTTACACTGGTTACATTTCCAAAATACCTCACCTATGTAAGTGGAAATATCCTAGTATCTCACAGGGCCAGCTGCATCGTTGGTCCCAAGTATTTTGGACAGGGGATACACAACCTTCCCCCTAAAAACTGACCCCTATTGTCTCGAGCAGGGTACCTAGAACTGAGACTAGAGGCCCACAAACCCCCTAAAGCACTTTCAAGAGTACTCTGAAGAACTACAAAGAAAAATACATTTTTTTTTAGGTAAACTGGAGATGTGTGGATCATTTATCTTTTTATTTATGAACCACTTTACAAAAAAATGTCTACCCTCTTCTTAGGTGCATTGCTGTCCCAGTAATCTATCACTACATAAACCAGACACCCTAAAAGTTAACGACAAAGACCTTTCTGAGATTAATTTGAAATCCTCTCCAGACAGGGGAAACATGCAATTTGTGTCAGAGAAAGCATTCCTCTCTCTGATGTTTAGAAGTTCTAAGAAAACGGGGGAAATGGAGAAAGAACTTTTAAAAAATCAAATGGTCCTCAAACATACAAAAAAAGAATTAAGACCTGCTCCATGGTGCGGCAATAACGCACTACTCAAAAGAAGCTGGATCCCACGTGGCCATCTGGGTTCGAATCCCCCACCTGGTAAACCTGAAACATGCTGGGCAACACATGAGTGCCCAGGATCTGCTGACTGGAGGCAGGAGACTAGCGTGTGACCAGGCCCTGTGCTCCTTTCTTTTTTTTTTTTTTTTTTTTTTTGGAGAGGTTTTTGCTATAGGGTGCATGTGCTCGACAGACAGACAGAGAGAGACAGAGAGACAGAAAGCGAGAAATCACCCCCTGGGGGGATGGCCACCTCGCAATCCCTTCTCCTCCATTCTCCTCTCGGGATCTTGGGCATGCAAGCACACAGGCCCGGTGTGAGTTTAAGCCACCGGGTCCAAGACTTGAACAGCGGTCGACTATGTGGGAGTCCAGCGATATAGCCATTACGCTAACTGCTGGCCCCTCATCATTCTCTTTTACACAAACTTCTCATGTGCAAGTGGGTGTACTACACCAAGAATAAAGAAAAAAATAATTTTAAAAGATGATTCAACCGATTTATAAAAAGAAGATTTTGGAGGTGACTATAGCCTAGTGGGTAAGGAAGCGGGATCACATGTGGCCACTGGTAGCTCAAGTCCCGGAGTCCCAGCCTGTGGGCTCAAAAAACACGAGTGGGGGCCATGTGGCATGGCGCTTAAGGTGCTGGAGTGCACGAGGCGGACAGCGCAGTTCCAGTCCCAGCTGGCCAGGCGCATGTGTGCGGTAGGTACCCAGAAGCCTGAGAGAAGAATGAAGGGATTGCAGCATGGCCATCTCCCTCTGGGGGGTGACTTCTCTTTCCGTCTCTGTGTCTCTCTCCCATAAGCACATGCACCCTATGCCAAAAATCTAAAAAACAAAAGCAAAAACAAAAAGCACGAGTGTGTATGAGTGTGTGTGAGAAAGCCCAAACCCTGGCAGGATGGAGAAAGAAGACGGGATCTGGGCAGGACCACACCACCTGGGGGGTGCTTTCTCCCCTTCCCACTCCAGTGAGCCCACTGCCCCCACTGGCAATAAAAAAGAAAAGTTCTGGGCCTGCGCAGTGGGGTGGTTAGGGGGGCTGGATCCCACGTGGCTGACTGCGCCCTTAAGGTCCCTGGAGAAACACAGACAGTGCACTGGTCCAAAGAGAGGGAGGCAGAAAGAGGGACTGCAGCGACCACGTCCTAGGGAGTCCAAAGCCCTCTGTGAACCTTATACATAATAAATAAGAAAAGTCTATTATAAGCACCCTGAGCCACGACTTCTCACCTATCAAACGGACACACCCAGAAGCTGGCAACCCTCCTGCGTGGAGGCCACTAGGAGGGTGGCACTCCGTCCAGTGTCTCGGGGGCTCGCAGTGGCTGGAGGTGGGAGCGCCGGGGGACCGCCCAGCGTCGCCTGGTTAGTACTTGGATGGGAGGCGGCGACAACAAGCGTCCCCGCAGAGCCTTTCCGCGGCGGGCGCCGCCGGCCCCGGGGCCCCGGCAACTGCCGGAACGCCCCGAGCTCACAGCCTCCGCTGGCGCCCCCGCTGCGGGCCTCGGGGCTGAGCCGCCTCGCAGCGCCTGCGGTGTCACCGGGAGCGCGGAGGCCCCCGGGCAGGACGGGGATCCGGGACACCGCACCCCAGTCCGCAGCGGAACCCGGCAGGCGGGCGGGGCGGGGCGGGGCCGGGCCTGCGGGGCGGGCCCGGGGACCGGAACTGTGGCCTAAGCTCCCGGCGCCCTGGCGGAGTGGGACGGAGGGTCCCACAAACGAGCATCCACCTGCCGACGGGAAACCGTGGAGGAGGGGGCTGCGGGGGCCGGGGACCACGCTAGCGCCGCCACCCGCCTGGGTGTCGCAGCCGCGGGAGCAAGTAGAGCAGGACTGGCCAGGCCACCAGCGGGGGATAGGACACGGCCGCACGTGGCCTTTCCTGATCTGGGAGTCCCCAGGGTAGAACTGCCTAGAAGTCTCTCCAGCCCTGCCGGGATAGGAGGGCCTGCAGGGTGAAATTCTCAGAGCTGGGAGGGGGGCTGTGAAGGCAGCCAGACCAGAGTAGGCCAGTGGCAGGTGGCGCTGGGTGGTCAGCACTAGAGTTGTCACCCTGGCATGGATAAATCCCTCCCTCCGGTTCTCCCCGTATGACTTTGGGCAGCTCCCAATGACTCAGTTTCCTGTTCTCAGAAGTAAGGGTGTCCGGGGTCCACCTCACCAGGATGTGGCTACCTCAGCATGCCCTGGCCTGGGGGCTTAGGAAACACTGGCTGCTGGGCTCGCTGGTGGCATGGTGGCTAAGGTGGCTGGATCCCACATGGCCAGCTGCACTGTTCGGGTCTCAGACCCGGACGCGTGCGTACATGCCCCAGATCCTGAGAGGAGCACGGAAAAGAGATTGCAGTGTGACCGTCCCTACTGGGGGGTGCTTTCTCTCTCCCCCACTCTTTCTTTGTCTCTGGTGAGTCCACTTGCTCCATGCCAATTTTAAAAAGAAAGAAAGAGAGAAATGAAAGGAGGAAATATTGGCTATTCGAGAAAAGAAAGCTGAGGCTGGAGAGGGTTCAGTAAGGTACCCAACGTCACAGCCGGGTCCACCTCCCCCTGCCCCTCAGCCTGCTCTTTCCAGTTCGGCCCAGCTCCAGTGGGATGCCTCCTGTGAAGCTCCCCCTAGGTTTCCCCATCCCATGGGCGCAGATTCCCTTCCCTCTGGGTGTCTCCACACCCATGCCTGGCTCTCCTCCTGTAACCCTCGGGGCAGCGCGGGTCTGAGCCCGGGTCAGTGCACGTATGACCGGACGGGCTCGGGCAGTGCTGGCTTCCTGAGACGGGAGGAGAGTGAATGCCTGGCTCTGCTTTCAGGTCTGCTGACCGAGCTGAAGCTGGCTGTGCCTTGGGGCCATATCGCTGCCAAAGCCTGGGGCTCCCGGCAGGGCCCCCCAGTTCTCTGCCTGCACGGCTGGCTGGACAATGCCAACTCCTTCGACAGACTCATCCCTCTTCTCCCACAAGGTCAGCAGGGCCAAAGGGAAGCTGAGGGGCAAGGTGGCAGGACTGCGGTGAATGAGGCCGAGACACTGACGTGTCACCTCCCCCTGCCCTTCTCTCTCTCAGAATTCCATTATGTGGCCATGGATTTCGGGGGTCATGGGCTGTCATCCCATTACAGCCCTGGTATCCCGTATTACTACCAGAACTTTGTGAATGAGATCCGAAGAGTTGTGGCCAGTGAGTAAGAGGCAGTGTCTGTGGGGGGTGCGTCCTTCCCACCGTTAGAGCTGGGCATGGGGTCCAGGAAGCAGTGTTGGCCCAGAAGTACGCCCCTGTGGTCTGGCCCCACTCCGTTCTGCCAGCAATTCACTGGGGACTCTGGGAAAGCTGGAGTGGGCCCCTGAGGAGAGTCTGCCTCCTCCAGTGGCTTCTCCCAATCCTGAAGCTGGGGTCCCCGAAGCTGGGGTCACCCCAGATGCTCAGAGTGGATTTACTGAGCCCTGGGGCTAGCCGCGGGAAAGAGGGCTGGCCGCGGCTGGGCCCGTCCAGACCCTCCGGCGCTGTGTGTTTTCAGCCTTGAAGTGGAATCGTTTCACCCTCTTGGGCCACAGTTTTGGTGAGTGCACTGATCAGGCCCTGACTGGGCTCCGATGGGGCCATGGGGCCGGGGAGGAGGGAGAGGAGCTGGAGCACTGGGGAATTGCAGGGAGTGGCGACAGGACTGGTTAGATGCTAGGCTTTGGAAACTGTGCCCTCTGGCTTCAGGGCTGTATGGGCCCCATAGGTGGCTGTCTCCCTGCCTGGTGAGGGAAGTGTGGTCTCTTGAGTGGTCGGGTCTGATGGAGGGGTCATGATGGCCCGGGGAGGGGGCCTGAGTGTGTGATTCAGAGCCCCGCCTACTGGTGAGGAGGGGGTGTGTGGGGGGGGTGGGGTGTGGTGTGGCTACCTGGTGGCAGCCCTGGGAGGGCGGTGGAGGGAGGACGAGGACAGTGGGGCAGGGAGGGGGATATCAGCCAACTGCTGTTTTGACCCCCAGGTGGCACGGTGGGCGGAATGGTGAGTAGATGGCTCTCCTGGCGGCGGGGCTCCTGCAGGGGGGGTGGGCGAGCAGGTGGGCGGGCAGGTGGGCGGGCAGCAGTTGAGGAACGGGAGGTACTTAGAGCAGGAAGTTTTCTGTAGCTACTGCCAGTTTGCTTTCTGAACTGCAAGGCACTCCCAGGGCACAGGGAGGAAGGCAGTGTAGACCGTGGAGCTCCCCCATCCCTGGGTCCAGCAGGGTCTTGGGTTGGGTGCAGACCTCAGGGTCAGGGAGAGGGTACAACTGGCGGGATAGAAGATTCTCGTGCTGGCCTTTGGTGGGCACCCTTCCCCCAGCCTGAGAGCTGTCTTGGGAAACGCCGGTGTCCCAGGGCAAAGGCTGAGTCCTCTCCTTCTCCCTCTCCCGTCCGTGCCTCCCCGTGGGTGTCGCGTCAGTTTTCCTGTGTCTTCCCGGAGATGGTGGATAAACTCATCTTGCTGGACGCAACACCGTTTGCCCTGGACTCTAATGTAAGGGGGCTTTCGTCCATTTGTCACGGGAAGACCCAGGTCCCTGGGGTGTCCTCAGCTCTGTCTCCTTCGGTGGACACTAGGGAGGCGGGAGGAAGTGGCAGAGGGTGGACAAAGGGGGCCAGAGGCCCCCACAAAGGACAGCATCATGCTTCTGATACTCCTGGGTGCATCAGGGGGAGGGGCCCAGGGACCCCATGGAGTCCTGCATGTGGTCTGGGGCCCGCGGGGTGCCAGGTCGGTCACGGAGTGGGAGAAGATAGGAGCATGGTTCGAGGAAGCTCTGGGGGCACACAGCTTGGAGAGCCCACTGCACTCACACTCAGCCACGCCCGTGCTGTGTACGTGCTGCACAACCACACACAGCCCTGAGTGTAGACTGATGGGAAAAGCACCGACCCCTCCGGCTAGCACCAGCAATAACCGGTCCTGTTCCTGAGTCCTGGCTCTGTCATTTGCCTGCCATGTGATCCTGGGCAAGTCCCTTTGCTTCTCTGCAGCTAGTTTTCACAACTGTAACGAGGGGGTCCCCTGCCAGCTCTGGCGGCCTGTCAGTGTATTCTGAAGGCTTAGTTTAGCCTCTCAACTGTAACAGTTCTCTCATCGTCTCCGTCTTCTCTGAAAAATGACCAGATTCCCAAGGGTGAGAACCACGCCTGCCTTTACCGCCACATCCGTAAGCCTGGCAGTTGGTGCTGTCCGTGCTCAGGCTGTGGACAGAGCTTGTGGTGGCCAAGGATGGCGCTTGCAGACGAGCTCCCTCTGGATTGCCCTCACTGTGATGCCAAGGGCAGCCCCCCGGGGCCTTCCTCCTGGGTGGGCCGCTAGACAGGGCCAGGCATTCTCGCCCAGTAGGCCACATGTGATGTGGAGTTGGAGCCCCTGAACCTCACCCTCCTGCCAGGCGCCTCCCACCGTTAGGATGACAGCCTTGGTTGAACCCGATGAAACGGCTCTTGACGCAGGGACCCTAGTATCACAGCTCTGCAGAGCACTTGGCAGTGACAGGTTTCCTTTCTGTCATCCCACCTGGTCCCTCCACCTGGGTCCCCCACAGTGAGGGCTGGGCCGGGTGTGACAGAGACACAGGGCTAGCTCGCAGGGCTGATCGCGTGCAAGCCCACGCAGCTGGGGCGGCGGCTGGGGCAGACTGAGTCCCCAGCCAAGGAGAAGGAAGATGTGCACAGTGCTGAGGACTGAGGCACAGGGAAGGAGCGCGTGCAGCGGGGCCCAATGTGGGGCGGGCAGGGCTGGCTGGGCCTCTGCCTCCTCCACAGCACCCCGGCACTGTGATTCCTTAGGAAGTGGAGAACGTGCTGACCTACAAGCGGAGAGCCATCGAGCACACGCTGCAGGTGGAGGCCTCCCAGAAGCCCTCGCAAGTGCTCAGCCCAGAGGAGATGCTGCAGGGGTGGGTGCTCGCTGACCGGTGTGGGGGGGCAGGGAACCGCAGGATCCTTGGGCAGAAACCCTCCCAGGGGGAGGAGTCTCCCACTTGCAAACTCAGCCACCCTGGGTGCCAGGCTTTACCTGCCTTTCCTTCTGCCCTCCTCTGCCCACTCCTGGCCATACCTGCTCTGCCCCTTCCTTCCCCTCAGGCACACACACCTCTCCTGTACACCTGCTCTTCCCTCGGACTCCACCCTGACGCTCCTTCCACCTGGAGCTTTCCCTGCTCCTTCCGACTGCCCCACCACCCCGGGGGCCTCAGTGGGCTGGCACTTCCTGTGCAAGCCTGCCCTGATCCCCCGGTGAGCTGCCCTACCTGCCCTGCAGGTGGTGGCCTACAAGAATGGTGGAGACCAGGGCTGAATGGTCACATTTCTATGTTCCACTCCGAGGTCAAGGCTCCTTAAATGTCCGTTGTCTAAAGGAATGAAAACTCACATAGAACACACACACACACACACACACACACACACACACAGTAGCGTACACATGCGAACATGCCGTTGACACGTAGGATGCTTGTATGCCTCCCCTGTGAGTGGCCCCCTCTCCTGACCTCCCTAGTCCAGGGCTTCAGTGTCCTTCTGTCCCTCCCAGGTTCCTGAAGAACAATAGCCAAGTGGGTGAGGAGTGTGGGCGACTCCTGTTGCAGAGAGGAACCACACAGGTGGGCACAGGTATGGAACTTCCTGTCCAGTGCTGGACACTTGTTCAAGATTGTCACCGTTTTTTTTAAAGACCTATTTATTCCATTTTTAATTTTTTAAACTTATTCATTAGTTTATTTTAATTTGACAAGAGAGAGATAGAGAGAGAGAGAGAGAGAGAGAGAGAGAGAAGGAAAGTGAGAAAGCAAGCCACCAGGTCCGGGACTCAAACCATGGTCAGCCATGGGGAAGTGTCCAACACTTTATCAACCATGCCACCTGCTGGTCCCATGTCATCATTTTTGTTGAGAAATTATGTAAAGGACTTGCTGTGGACCAGGTGTGATGTGAGGTGCTTTGCAAACGGTATCTCACATCATCCCCCTAATGCCTTAAACTCGCCCCACTTAGGGCAGGAGAAACAGGCTCAGAATGGCCAAGAGATCCATGCAAGGTCCTGTGGCTACTGCCCACCCCAGAGATCTGCACTGTGGGGAGCTTGGTCAGGTGTCCTGGGACCAAGTGCTGGTGAAGGTCGAGGTCATGTTTGCTGGACCTGGGCACGGGTGCCCAGTGCCAGAGGGAGGCTGTGTGGAAGCCCTCGCGGGCGGGGTGATTTCGAAGACGTTTTCCAAACAGGTGGAGTTGATGGTGCCCTGGCTTCAGGGCAGCTGCGGCCAGCGTTTTCTGTGCTTTGTTTGCTGATGTATTTGTTCAGAAGTCTTTACTAAGGAGCCCTCACCTGCCAAGTGAGGCCCGGAGAGGCTGCGGGAGAGTGGTGAGCAAGGGCGGCCTGCCCCCAGCTTGGTGAGGCCAGCACCTCTGGCGGCACAACCCTGGGCGCTGTTCACAAGGCCCTGGGTGGAGTTGAGCAGAGCGGCCAGGTGGAGAGCGTAGGTTCTAGGAGGAGAAACATACTAAACGGATAAACAGTCAAACCAGGGGCTAGACAGTTTATGAGTGTAATAAAGGAAGAGACGCCCTGGGGACGGGGGACAAGGTGGTCCAGGAAGCAGCGTGGGGGGGTGGGGCAGAAAGGTGATGGCGTGCGTGGTAAGACAGAAAGTGCGCTGAATCGGGCGCAGAGACCCGAGTTCGATTCCTGACTGCTAGCTGAGTACTCTGGGGGACATTCTTCCTGTTTGACTTCCCTGGTAATCTCAGACGACAAACAGGTTCTTGGGACTTTGGCCCTTACAAATTGGTTGGCTCAAGTGAGGTGGTGAATGCAACCTCAGCTTGCGAGGTACCAGATGAGGCAGAGGTCAAAAACCCAGGTGCCCGTGGGGCTCGTACAGGTTGGACTGGATTCTGCTGGCTAGGAGTGAGGTGACGGGGCTCTGGGGACTGCGGAACTGCAGTCAGCGTGTCCTGGCAGGGCAGCCCAGCCAGCGGTCACCATGGCCCTGCCAGCTACATCTTAGTTATCTCCTCGGAACCTTTCTCTCTCCTCCCTGCAGACCTGTCATGGAGACAGGAGGCGGGAGGCCGAGGGCTTGGGCACATGCCTCCCACAGTTGCTGTACACCCAGGGGGCCAGCCCAGTGGGCCCCAGGTACAGAAGGGGGCTAATCCGGAATGAGACTCGCTCTGGCCAGGCAATCCGATTAGGCCTGGGGTCACCTGAGATGGTGAACACAGACACCGACCAGACTTCTGGAGATGGGGAGAGGGCTGAGAAGGTGAGCCCCTGGGTGTCGAGGGAGTGGGAAGGTGGCTGGAGCCTCACGTCAGGGTCACCTCATAGCAGCAGCCGTGGCCCTCTGGGACCCAAGTTAACCTACAAGATGATGGAGCCCACAGCGGAGGTCTCCCTGGATGTGGGGACTTCGGGGAGCTGGTGTCTTGGACCCTCCCTGAGCCTCCCCGCAGGCCCAGGCACCCAAGAGGCACACTCCATCTGGAGCAGGGCGGAGGGCTGACACAGCCTCCCTCCCCAGCCTCCGTCATCCAGTCGGATCCCCTGGAATCTGTTCGGGCCCTGGCTGGACAACTCGAACAACATGTATTCTCTCACAGTTCTAGTGGCCAGGAGGTCCCAGCCAAGTGCTGGCAGACCTGGCTCCTGAGGTTGCAAGGAGGAATGCGTCCATCTCTCCAGCCATGGTAACCCCGGGCGCTCTGGGCTGGCGCTTGTGTGTGTGCGTGTGCCATGTGCCCACATGCGTGCATGTCTTTTTTCTTTTCTTTTCTTTTCTTTTTTGAGAGGTTTTTGCTATAGAGCGCGTGCGCTCGCCAGACAGAGAGAAACAGAGAGACAGAAAGCGAGAAATCACCCCCCAGGGGGGATGACCACGCCGCAATCCCTTCTCCTCCATTCTCCTCTCGGGATCTT